CGGCCACTCATTCAAGTCAAAGACCACCCACCCACCAGGCGTCGTATCTCTTTCAGAAAACAACTTGGTATTCTGCGTCACGAATCCACCGTACGTGATGGATCCTTTGGGATAGAATTCCATGAAGTAATAGTCATCCCCAGATCGAGTAGATGGATCTCCTTTCCTTCGTGCCTCCCACATCTTCAACCGGGCCGAAAACCTCCATGCGGACGCGGAGTCACTTGTCTTGACGCGATTCAGTTCACGAATGCAACTTTTCGCCGCACGAGCTGGTGCGAGGAAAGATACAGCTCCAATGGTAGATGTCCAGGACCAATGGGGTTGGTCCTGAAGAGCGAGCGGACGAGTCAACGTCACTTTCGCGAACCAAAGCAGCTGAATAAGTACGCAATGGGTATGAAACGCTTCGTGGAGCAGAGAGTCATCATGGAATACCCCGGAGGTGTATTCTTCGGCAATTCCTTTGCCAATCTCTGTAGCCAAGCCTAAGATTGCGACTGGCTTGTCCGACTCGTATGTTAGGCTTCTTGCAGCGTAGGTAGACACAAGATCGCACCAGTCTGCATAGAAACCTAAGATCTCTTCGTTATCTACTGACGAGTCGCTTTGTGGTTTTGCTTCCTTGGCTTGCCGATATCGCCTGGCGCTTTCAAAGAGCCTCTGCTCATCCCCCGATGTCTCATTTTCACCATCCTCGCATTTGAGCAAGGTGCGACACGCCCAGACCATTCGTGCTTTTGTAAAATGAATAATACGAGGGGATAGCATCCATTCTTGAGTAATCCATGCCCGACTCCCGAGCGGGGTTTCGCTGACCGTGGTATCCAGCGCGTCAGGAAACAGAGTTGCCGACATGTATTCTCCTTGATCCGGGTCTCCGTAGGGAAGACGGACGACCGGTTGCAGTGGAGGACGCGGTACAAAGCAGCCCTCGGATCCGTCTCTGGCACCGGACGCGGCGACAGTTATTTCGGCATCTTTGTAGATGCGCCCCATCTGAACTGACTCCTTGCGCCAGTCATCAGCGTCATCCTGTACGATGCATAGACTATCGATCCAGAGGTAACGTAAGCCGAGGAACCGTACAATCTTGATGGCATCTTGGAAGGTCTTGGGTAGACTGGCGAACTTGATAACGATACAATGCTGGGCTAGGTTGTGAGATGTAGTTGTCAGAATTCTTTGCTTTCCCCAGCAATGGCTTAGAGCGGCATAGAGGGCATGGACCCCGTTGGTGACCAGGAGTTTCGGCTCCTCTGATCCATCAGCCGGGCCAACGTCAAGGACTCTAGTGGGCAGTGGTGGCATAATGCTCGAGCCACTCTTTGCCAAGGAAGTTTCCGGGCCAGTAAATGCCTCGTTGCAATCCTCGTGATTGGTTTTGCAAGTATCGTACCAACGCTGTACCAGCTCGAATGCCTCACTCGAGCCGGAATCCGTCAATAGCCTCGTCCCGATAACATCTTGGTTGCGGGCAGGTGCGCTATCTATGATATGAACGTCTTAGCTTATTTTGGCAACCATGGACCTGTTTGTCTGTTGGAGCTCTTACAAGGGTCCGAGAATAGACTCATCTTGACTAGATCATAATCGTACTCAATGTCTGGGATATGCACATTGATGCCGAACAACATTGGAGGCTGCACACCGTCTCCAGGGGCGTCCTCTACCGTATCTGAATCATCGCCGACACCAAACAAGTATAGAGGCTCAGGTTTCGTGTTCGTGCGAAGTTGCTCGTCCGATTTGGGAGTCCTGCAATCCTGGTCCATAGCGAGGCGTATGAGCCTGCAAAAATCGCATACCTTGGCCAAATGAATGAGATCGTGTGCACTATCGATATGGCGATAGCCATAAGGCTGAGCCAAGGCTTGCGGGGTAATGCCCTTGCAAGCTGGACAGAGAGATGCCATGGTTGCAATTATCGAACCCAACCGAAGATTAACACACCTCGGTGATGGGGTTTGCAATACTTGGTGGACACTGCTGAGCACTAAACACTATGTCTTCAGCATTGTCCCGAGGAAATGGTGAGAGTGGTTGCGCGACATTTTGCAACTGCTACGTCTGTTCAAATGTCTTCCAACCGTTTAGCGCCAATCTTTCATCCATGTCATCTTGGCCAAGCTGGAACGCTGTTGGCTCAATGTCGCCAAAAATGTATCGTAAAGTGGAGTCACGACGTGGCCAATCTCATTATTATCTCGTTTTGGCTGTGATTTAAGAACAAAGTCTGGCTTTTTGGTCCTGCAATTATTATCAGATTTCACTGCTGCCAATTGTGACAGTCAATCATCCTACCCTGACATCTTGCTCGAATCGCGTGGTTGGAGGCGTGTTTCGTGAATCGATTATTAGTTCGCGACAGCAGGGACAGCAATAACGATAGTAAAGTAAGACTACGCCGCCAACATGAGGTCGGTCCGCGTTGCCGTAGAAACAATCAAATCAACGCCAGGCCTGAAGTCAACTTGATCAAGCGCAATATTCTCGGTATAAGAAAGTTAACCAGTTAAATCAGACATTTAACAAATTGAAATCAAGGCTGGGCATAACATCACGCGTCATCCAAGAATATTAATTTCTCAAGAGGAAAACAAGAAAGATTTTCTACGTGGCTCGTTTCTACACAACGGTAATTCCATCCAACTAACCTGTGGAAGTCAATGAATTGAACCTCGACTTAAGTTCAAACCTAACGAGTCCGATATTTAAAGGATTGTTTGATATGACCGGCAAGTCGATTAATTAGGTTATGTTCATGATATCGTTGGGATCAACGGGGTCCTGCGTCATGAACTTGTTATCTACCCAATATCCCATATAGACTCTCTTCTTACATGAAGCTCCAAGTTCCATAGAAATCAGTGGAATTCTGTCTGTTCTCAGCCAAGCCTTCGGGTTCCCTCACTTTCTCGGAGTTTCTTGCCATGCTTGGGAAAACCACCAACTAGTCAAGTCACCGCATGATACGTGGCGTTTTCGAAAATGGAGAGTGATCCGCGACCTTGCAGGAGCTGAAAACCAGATATGGCACTTGAAGCGGTGAGAATGCAACTCGAAAACTGAGGTGACTACCCTAAACCTTAGGGTCTTTTCTCGTGCCGACAAGATAGTAGTTGCGCAAGCTCCTCTTGATCAGGCGAGGGCGTCGACTCTTGACGTGTTCAGCCAGCCACAGGTTGAAACTTGTACCCAAAATCATACGACTCCCTATGCGTCTGAAGGGAGGTTGAAGTGATGTCACGCTCGGCGTATCAGTTACTTTGTGCGCATCCAGGGTCTATCTCCTGCCCCATAATGAAGCACATTGAGCCCACCAGCGGCCCGCTCCCGTCGGATTGTTACCCCGCACCTGATACCCACGCCTTGCATCCATACCCTGTCTTGGGAACGCCCGAGGGATCAACTATACACCTACCTTAGCTGGATTAACGATGATCGACTACCGGTAGTAAGCCTGCCTGCATCCTTGTGGCTGGCTGAACTGCAGACGACATCTGATATCGCTTTCCGACAAAGCTCAATTTCCGACATTGCTTCACGTCCAATAAGCACGTTACTCTCTGGAAACCAGCCAAACTGTAGGTAAGCACGTGGTAAGGTATGATGGCATTGAAATTGAACTGAGCTAGCCATCGTGTTAGCCACACCGTGGGTCTGATGCTTTCCATATAAGCCAGAGTCTTGGACTGCTCGATTGAGGATGCAAGTCTATCTTCATGCGTCTTGATGTCATGAATTATCGCCAATAATAATTGCGGCCAACTACTTCTTTGACTGTTCATTCGAGAAGGTTCAGAGGTATTCTTTAGTCGTCTCCGTCTCCGTATCCCTCGCCAGGAAATCCCTCTCTTCGGCCAACAGATCGGTTATTGGCGTCTATAATAAGTTGAGCGGTGTGACTTGATTATCACTGACGTCGGGCGCTCATATATGTCTTTCATTTCGCTCACTAGGTATGGTGAAACAAGGGACCAGCGGTAGATAGCAGAGGGTGTGTGGGTTTCCTCGAGGCCGATATTCTCTTGCAGATCTGATATAAGTGCGAGATTGGGTTCAAGTACTTGGTAACTGCCCCGCTCCAGCTACTGATCAACATCTCGTACAATCCTTGCTTAAGCATCAAGTTAAGCTACATATGTCCGTGATCATGCATGCAAGGTGTCTTGGGTCGGGAATGCACCAATCACACCCTTCACAGAAGTTGCGTGCTGGGAAGTAAGTCTCTCCTCGGCAGGATGGCTGTCAATTATCGTGCCCCGCCACTGTCACTGCTAAAGATGTATGGACATATTTTGATAGATGCGCGTGGGGCTCTTCGCTTGAAAGGGCGAGTTGCGGCCAATACCGCCAGGCTGCAGCTGTCGGCCATTTGGTGGTGTCTTGCCATGCACGAACTATTACATCTGGAAGTGATTAGCGAAATGCTGTTCTCAATCAACCAGACAAATAAGCCCTCCCGAATCAATACTGCGTGCCCTGTGATGCTGTCTTTCTACCATAGACTATCACCACATCCAAACCGGTGATCGCCAAGTGGTGTCCTCGACCCTTGTTGCCTGTTTGTGCTGAACGTGCAGGTCTCTTGGGAGAGTCCGGGTGGTCAGGGTTCCCGCATGAAAATCTATCGATGGGCTTTTGTTTCTCGTTTTCATTAATTTGTTTGTGCCTCTGTGCCTCAAAAGGGCAAAAAGAAGACAAAAGGAATTCCGTATAGATGTGTACCACGCACTGACACCACTGCAGCACACTCGCATTTGTGCAGAATACTATGACCTTGAAACACCTAAGCCTCAAGATCTCAAGGTCAAGTGTAATTCGTGTTTTCTTTCGTGTCACGAGTCGTTAAGTAAGGTAATACCGCGTACTTAATCTACGCTTCCACCCGTCCATGAGTCTTCAGTTGGTGCCGTCCTATGAGCAAATCTCTTCACTTGTCTAACATTCGCCTAGTACCCACAAGCCGTCGAATGAAAACTTGAAGGACATAAATCATGGCAGCGGGATTGAATCAAGGCCGGAAATCAGCGCTTTTAATAGGCATCGACATATACAACGACACTAAAACTAACTTACCCAACCTGCACGGTTCCGTCACCGATGTGGCTACCACGGAGAAATTCCTCACTGAAGTTGCCGGCATCTCCAACATTACCAAGCTCACCTCCCCGCCGGATCCATCCAATGACCTCCTCCCAACCTTCGACAACGTCACATCAAAATTCCAGGCTCTCGCCGATGACGCTCGCCCCGGGGACTTCATCTACATTCACTACTCGGGCCATGGCACTCGTCTGGCAACTGTCTTTGAGGATCTCAAGCGCGATACCACTCCCTTTGACGAGACTCTAGTCCTTGCCCGCAGCGACGGCAAGCTTGATCACCTTCGTGACGTCGAGGTTGCCTTTCTGTTGAAGCAGATAGCCGACAAGGGCGCGACGGTCACCTTCGTGCTCGACTGTTGCCACTCAGGCGGGGCCATGCGGGGAGCCGACGACGAGGACAGCGGGGTGCGAGGGTCTGAAGATATCCCGAAAGAGAGCTTCTTTTATTTCGACCGAAAGCCCATCCAGTCTGTGGAGGATCTGAAAGATGCCTGGCGCTCGCCACCGGACGGCGTTGACAACGCGGGCCGCGGTGGAAACGTGGAAGAGCACTGGATGACGTCGTCCGAGGGGATCAACTTTCTCGCTGCGTGCCAGCCGGACCAGAAGGCGCAGGAGGTGCCATTCAGGGCGACTGTGAAGAAAGGGCTGTTCAGTGATTGCCTAGACCGCGTCCTCAAAGACCATAGAGGGCCAGATCGCCTGCGCCAGCTGAGCTGCGAGGTCGTTTCCAACCTCGTCGCACAGAAGCTCAAGACCCACGAGTTGAAGAGTAGAACACAAGAGCAGCAGCCTGTGTTCGGGGGCCGGGGCGACTGCCACATATTTGGTGTTGAGAGCGTGGTGCAGCACATTGTGGTCGTCACTAGCGTTGGGGAGCTGTCGAGCGGGAAGCTTAAGGTGGGACTGACAGCTGGCGTGGCCCACGGCGTCTTAGAGGATGATGTCTTCGCCATCTACCCTAGAGATAGACAGCTTGACAGCCTTGCTGACTACACCGGGCCGATAGCTACCTGCACCGTGACTGCCGTGGAGAGTTTCACCTGCACAGCCCACATCCAATCGAAGGTTACTGACCTCAAGCAGAAGGAGGGCGTCCAACCCGGCTGCCAGGCTGTCAGTCTGCGCAGCATTTTGAAGGATCACGTTCTGCAGCCTAAGGGGGCCTGGGTGTCGGCTACGGATGACAGCGCTGAGCCAGTGGCCCAGAAAGTCCGGGATTGCATCAGCCGGAGCAGCTTTGTCGAGCTCAAAGACGACGGTGATTCCTTCTTCAAGGTGCTGGTGCAAAAAGATGGCACTTTCACCATCTCTTTCACCCCAAACCAAGTTGAAGCCAAGGTCGAAGACAAAGGGAAGCCCGAAGATGTGCTCTCCCACTTAGTCCACCTAAGCATCTTCTACAACATTTTCAATCTCGCAGAAGACAACGCGGCGCAGCAAGGACAAGGCCTGACTGTCAGTAAACTCGGCTATCTCGATCAGGGCGTCAAGCCCCCTCCCCCGCGGCAATTCAAACTGGGTGAAACCTCTTCGCTACTCAAGGATCTCAAACTGTTCCCAAAAGACTCAATCGACATGGTTACAGGCCAGGTTCTAGTGATCGAGGTAAGAAATACGTCGCTGGATAACGTTTACGTCGAGATCCTGGACCTGGAGCCGTCGTGGCGGGTGTTACGGGCGTACCCAATGCCGAAGAGGCAGCCGATCCTGACGACGCGAGGCCAGGGAACACTCTTCTTCATCAAGATGTCACCATCGGAAGGGGTAGAAGGCGCGGTCCAGCCCGACACGTTCGACCGGTTTGTTGTCCTGACGACAACAGAGGGCCGCCTTAATTTCCGTAGGGACGTCCTTCCGCCGCTGAAGCTTGTTGGGCAACAAGGACCTGGAATTGATAGCAAGAAGCCGGGTGTACTAGAGCCTGCTGATGGGAATGGTGATCGGGCTGGGAATGGGGTTGACGAGCCGCTGTGGTTTGTACAGAAGCTGGATGTGCGGGTGGTCGCGGAGGAATGAGTCTGTTGGACCCAGCGATGGATACCTTACATTCGCAATTGAGATGCTGTTGCTGAGGGTGAGAATAGTTCAACACAGCTTCTATGGCCAAGTAGTAGATGATGTTACTGGACCATTCTTAACGAGGTAGAGTCTTGATCTAGAGACATGTCACGACGACTGCTTTTCTTACGAGGTCGATTCTTTTCGGCAACGCTGTTGGTGCAATGCTCGCCAATGCTGGCTCGAAACGTACTTACTCAGATGGAATCAGTACTCTTGAGAGAACAGAGCTCAAGCTTAGGCACAAGGCATTGGGTGGAGTTCCGTCTGGTCTGGAATGGTTCACCGAATAATGAGGACTGGCGTGACCATTGAGATGTTTGTTGCTTGTGGACCTGATCACGAAGTCTTAGCTGCGTGAGCGGGCCGCTGCCGCCGGCACTAGCTATCTGTACACCCGACGATCAGAGGGTGCGGGGCATCTGATACATATGCCCTATTCGAACGACGGTTTTTGGTGGCGTACACGCTATTGATTCTTGCATATCAAATACGGGTACATACTTCAGCAACTCAGGTAGCCGAGTACTTTAGGTATATCTACTTAGTTGAACGCTGTATACGCGTTATCTTTTGTAACCCCGCGGCAAGAAGTATCCTTGAGGACTTCTGCAGGAGACCAGCTCGCCACAAAATGTGACGGCATCTTATAGTCTGCATAGAGTGATCTATGTCCTGCAAGAGAACCGAGCTGAGATGCAAGAGATATATCATTTAAATGAGAGAAATAATACAAGACAGATAGGACTCATGTCGAGGTGGTATGCTCTTAGATCATCGAGTGCGGGGTGATCTGCCGTGTAAGGTGGACCGTATGTATGCAATGGCCGAGGTGGAACGCAACTTCGAGTGCTGACGAGTTATTGTCGCTTGCGGGGTTTGTTTGCTTGTTTGCTGTTGAATGCTGGTTCCATGCGTGACGGGAAAGGACGCCTACTTCGCCGATCATAATCTCAACGCTGCTGGCAGTTTCCCAGGCTTGGCGGCTGTCCGACGATTCTGATGCTATTTCCGAAGGCATACAGGACGCTATGATGTCGTCGCCCAGGCGAACTTGATATATCAAGCCCAACTTTCAGCCACTCAGCCCAATTCCGAGCACGAAGTCAAACCTGCTCGGAACCTGAATTACCTATATACACAACTTCAACTAGCTTCTACCTGACTCCAAAGCAATTTCATCAGGTAATTTTCACCATGCCAGCCAACGGAACACAACCCGGCGTCATCGACGATAACCAGGCCAAACATGCTCTCGTCAGCTCGTGGTTTCTTGGCCCGCGGGCTGAGAATCTGGATGTCCTAGAGAGTCTCTTCCGTCAAGCTCTCAAGCGCCAGGAAGAGACTCGAATCGAACTCGCAGACGACGAAAGTGACAAGTACTTCTTCATTACCGAGGAGATGAAGGAATTAGACATCTACAAGCAAAGCATTCATAAGCTTAACAAGAGCTCGACGGACCTTTCGGGCAAGCTGGCGAAGCATTCTGTGCCGTTCTGGTCGCCACGGTACAATGCGCATATGAACATGGATACCACGCTAGCGAGTATCGTTGGCTGTAAGTCAGCGTTTACACAATAGTCTGAGGAGCAGTCTTTAACGCTGATGACTCCAAGACATGTCGACCATGATCTACAACCCCAACAATGTCGCAACTGAGGCAAGCCCATTCACAACCGAAGTTGAGAGACAAGTCGGCCAGGAGCTTTCTGAAATGCTGGGATACAATCGTCAGGACGAAGACCCCGCTCCCTGGGGGCATATTACCTGCGTAAGTAACTCCGCTGATACCCCTCCCGTTGGCTGTCATGCCAAAAAGCAGTAATCGGTTTTAACACGTAATCAATATTGTCAGGATGGATCTGTGGCGAATCTTGAGGCCATTTGGGCAAGTACGAATCCCCTGCTCCTCTTCACACAAGGCGTAAGGTCTAATCACACGATCTTTCTTCCCATATAGCCCGAAACCTCAAGTTTTACCCAGTTTCCCTCAAGCTCGCCATCGAGGAAGGGCCCCTCAAGTTCCTCAGCGCCGTCGAGCCACCCTTCAAGGTCGAGACGTGCAACTCAGGATCGAAAGAGTTCATGCAACTCACTATCAAGGAGCTCTTGAACTTGACGCCCTCTACCGTCCTATCCATCCCCACCCTATTGGGTGAGAAGTACTCCATCAGCCCAGGCTTTCTTCAGGACGCGCTCAGGCCGTTCCTGGTCCAGACAACAGGCAAAGATGACTTGGAGCGCAAGTTGAAAATCAACCCCGGAAAGTACATGATTTGTGCGACAAAGCATTACTCCTGGCCCAAGGGCGGAGGTGAGTTCCCTGATCATTCAGGATCGTGAGACTAGGCGTCCAAGTCGCTAAGATGCTCTATAAAAGCCATCTCGGGCATTGGATCAGAGAACTTCGTCGATGTCAACGTGGACAACGAGGCTCGAATGGACGCCGACGACCTCAGGACAAAGCTCAACGAATGCATCAAAAACAACACTCCCATCTTCGGCGTCGTCGCCATTATGGGCTCAACAGAGCATGGCGCGTGCGATCCACTCGCCGAGATCATCAAGATTCGTGATGAGTACCAAAAGAAAGAAGGAGTGTCGTTTGCAGTTCACTGTGATGCCGCTTGGGGTGGCTACTTTGCCTCGCTGCTATGGGGACGTGACAGCCGCGGCCCAGGCGACATCCCGTACGTGCCGGCGATGCCACTGAATCCATATACCAAGACGCAGCTGCAAGCCCTGAAGCACGCGGATAGCATTACGATCGATCCGCACAAGTAAGTCTTTCCTTCAAAGAGGTGTTTGACAAAATTTCTTGCCTTCTTTAACACTGACTATCACAGATCTGGATACATCAACTATCCTGCTGGCGGGCTGTGCTACCGAGACGGACGGATGCGGTATCTTCTTACTTGGACGAGTCCCATCGTGTTCCACCCCGGCGACGACAAGGGAAGTATGGGCGTCTATGGCGTTGAGGGAAGCAAGCCTGGCGCATCAGCTGTCGCTACCTGGCTTACCCACAAGTCTTTGGGCCTTGACCAGGAAGGATATGGCAGACTGCTCGGTGAGGCCATTTTCTCGTGCACAAAGGTCTGTTCAGCCCTCGCTTCCCTAAGTACTAACTTATAGGCATCTTTCGTGGGCTAATATCGGTATTTCTCCAACAGCTATACTGCCACTGGGTCACAATGACGCCGAAGCCCCAGGATCAGCCCGCTGACTCACTCATTGTTATGCCTCTCATCCGTCTCCCTTCGGAGAGAACGCCAGGCATCGGTGTCGAGGTCCAGAAAGACTACATCCGAAAGAATATCCTCGGCCGTGATAACAAGACACTGTTTGAGGACAAAAAGGCCTGGGATCTGCTGTGTGAGCTGGGAGGCGATCTCATGATCAATGCCTTTGCGACCAACTTCACGCTTGACAATGAGGTGAATCAGGATGTGGTGAGTCAACTTCCCCCCATTCAGACAGGGGTTCACCCTCCCATGTTGCATATAGACGCTGATGGACTGTGGTCAACTAGGGCGAAGCCAACTACCTCAACCAATGGATCTTCTCTAAGCTCTCCGTGTCATCCGAGAAGGACGTGGTCAAAGAACGACCGCTCTTCCTCACATCCTCCGAGTTCGGGGAGAAGGCCTACGGCAAGTGCCTCGAGACCTTCAAAATTCGCCTGGGTCTCAAAACAACCGACAAGGAAGGGAACGTCAAACCCTCTCGAGGCAGCCTACGCTTCCTGGTCAACGTGACCATGAGCCCATGGCCCACAAGCCCCGATTTCATGAGTCGCATGGTCGAGGAGTTCCGCAAGATTGCTGAGCGCGGTGTGAAGCGCGTCATCATCCGCAATAAGCGGACTCCCGACTTCCACGGTTTCGTCGTGCAGGGATTAGAGAAGCTCTACTTCACCCACATCGCCATGTTTAATATGGCCAACCATCGCAAGCAGCTCATTATCACGGCTAATCTCCCCGCGAACGTGCAGGCGCGGTACAAGGAGGAGCGCGGCAAAAACCCCGGCCAGTTTTACACCATTGCCAACGTGGAGAAAGAGATGCTTGAGAACCTACTCGATGGTCTGCTCAATCCTGATACCGCATCCAAGCTCAAGTTCAGACTGGACAAGGGAATCCCCGTGGGTGATACGCCGCCGTTGGAGGAGGGCTTCGCGCTGAGCAATGTGCGGGTGGTGGTTGATGAGTCAATGGCGCTCGCTGCGCTAGATGACGAGTACCCGGCCAAGATGCCCTTCTACCTCTACGGCAGCAAGAGTGAGGTTCACTTGGACCATGTTCTTAGGACGGCACCGAACGCGCAAATTAGCACTGACCTGGTCAAGACGAATCTGACTGAGCATCTCACTGACGAGCAGCTCAAGGAGGGTGTGGTTGTCGTGCTGGATGATGTGTTTGAAGCCAGCTTGCAGCCTTTGTAAGTGCCTCTTTCCCCTGAATGCAGCAGCCTTTCATGAGAACATGACTAACAACACACCTGCTTCAAACCACACAGGCCGACAACAGTACAGGAGTCAGACAAACAGAAGCATGTCCTGAATCTTGAAGCTCCAGGCTTCTCCCTGAAGAAGGGGTTCGACCACAAGGCGTCTGCGTACAAGACGTACGAGGAGGCCAAGAGTGGGAAGGGTCAATCCATTGCTACGGGAACTATTAGCATTGGCGACGCCGTCTTCGCCGACTGGGATGATGTCAACATGGACCCTGCTGCTGAGAATGACCATCAACACTAAGGTGATTCTCACCTCCATATGATCGGTTTGTGGTCCCCTTGGAAACCAGGACAAAGGAACGATATATGCGCGACTCTAGTGGTACATGTATCACTCATGGTGTGTGGGCTCGTAATCTAGTCGTATAAACGTAGATCTTAAGTGGTCATTCATACCAGGGAAGTTGTCGATCCAGGCTTCCGTCGTCAATTGTAACAAATCGAGCGACCCTGCAGTTTTAAGAGTCACTGGCCATGGGGAAGTTGTGATAGTGACTGGAGGCCTTTACGTCTTGATGGGGGTATGCCTTTCGGCCTAATTTAAAGTGGCAATTTCGAAACTGTAGACTTCAGCTTCTTGTCAGCCTTGGGAAACTAACGACAACTTCTGATTGCCCAAGGGTAGCACGGTCAAGGTTAGAGAATATAGGAGTATTACACTCACATCCCTCAAAGGATGACGTCGTTGAAGCTCAATTCCTGCATTGTTAACTCATGAGGAATACATCCTAAACCACTCTCAAGAGCCTCGCCTTTACGTTCAGACATGCCTCGTGAAAGTAGGTAAAGCACCACATGCAGTCTCACACCAGACTGTCGCTACAGCCGTCAATTATTATATTTGTGTCAGTCCGGTACGGGAATATGCTGCAACGTGTTTTTCTTGGCTTGCTTTGCTCGGTTCCTCTCAAATCATACGTCGTGGGTTTGGCAGGTTGTGGAGCTTTCGGATGCTACAGTGAGACAATGCCCAACAGAAAGGCCTGGTTGGGTACCTATCCTGCGACCAGTTAGCATAGCATGTGAGGCCGCCTCCCTCAGCTGAAAACTTAAATATTAATACTTGCCTGCTCGTTCGCCTAGCGAGACTGAGATCGACATCAAATCATGGCCCCTACGGCATAATCCTTTGCTTACCACGCCGAAACCACCTCGGTAGTCCACATAGAACGTTGAAACCCCTCAAAGAAGACCAAATCCAACAAAAGGCCATACAGACCAACACTTGCAACCAAAAATGGGTAACCCAAGCCTAGCCCACAGCTACCGCACTGCCATGCGCCGTCACCGCTTCGGCTACGCGCTCTACGAGCCAGCCCCCTTGTCCCGCTTGCGACCGGGTATGCTGGGCTACCTTGATGACGAATACCAGCGGTGGCATCCCATCCTCGACCTAGCCGACGCCGAGGCCGTCAAGGCCGCTGGGTTCGCCCCCTTGGGATACCTGCAGCGCAGCCCGCCTGACCCGCGCCGGTACGGGCCGCTGATGGCAGACAAAGTTACCGAGACAAACGTGGAGCTAGAAGCGGGCGTGGGCGGGGCGGCCGTGGGTCTGCCAGTCGAGTTGGGTAGTGTTTTCAAGTACAGCACCGTGGGCAGCTTTGGGGCCGTGTTGCTCTGCGGGGACGAGATCGTGTCCGAAGGGTTTGACTTTCGCGATCCGTTTCTTGCGTGGCTTCAGATCCATGCCAAGGTGCTGTTTGCCAAGTATCCTGATGCGAAGAAACATGGTCTCTGTGCCGTGACCTGGACTTACTCGTCGGCCGATGTTGGGATTACCACATGGGATAGCTCCGAGGGCAGTGCTACGGTTGGGTGTGATGTCGGCGCTGCTGACGTTGCTAAGGTCGGTCCTAAGGTGTCGTGGGTTAGGGGCGCGTCGAGCAGCGGCTGGTCAACTTGGAAGGACCAAAAACGCGTTGTCTTTTTTGCTGGCGTCAAGATCAAGACTGGGTTGTTTGGGTCTCTGCGGGAAGAGTCAGAGAAGAATTGGCGTGGCGGTGACGAGGCTTTCGTTGTCGATGATGATGAAAATGGCACCTACACGGTTTCGATTGAGCAATTTGGAGACGATTGGCATCGCATTCGCAGAGCTGGAGAGGGAGGCCATATTGCGCCTCAGGATTCTTATGATGAAGAGGAATAAGACCCATCGGCTATGAGGTTTTGAATACGGTTTATCATTTCATAACTGAGTTTGGGTTGATATCGCGGACAAAGGGGTTTGTTCAGGCGCCAAAGTGGACAAATGGAACCCAGAGCGAATTCATGGAAGGTTCCTCATCATCTACTCCGTCTCCTTTTCTAGATCCAGAACTCTGCGCAGTACGGCCCCCATCATTACCGTCATCGTTACCATCGACATTCTCTCTTCCTAGTATGGCGATCCCTTCTCCCTCATCATCTGGACCTGCAGCATCAATAGCACCATTGCCAGAGCCGCGGGTAGTTGCGCCAACCTGAACATCCCGTAGCTCCCCCAATGCTAGGTGAAGTCCTCGATGGACCGCTGCATCTGTCTTCCCCTCACTTCTGATCGTCTCATAAAATTTCCGAGCTACGTTGACGCAAAAGGGATCAGACACGGTCCATAGGGTGCCTACAACGTGACGGAAGCCCGCAAGTTGGCATGCGTAGCCGAGATGGATCCCTTCATCGACCAACCCAAGCACCTCATTGGCCCCTGTGGAACAAGCAGAGAGATAGGCAAGAAACGGTGGCTTCTCTTGCAGCTTCTCGTTGCGTAAGTCTTCCACCGTTAGCGGGCTCTTCTCCCAGTCACGGAGTAGGAGGGCACTCTGGGAGGGATCCGATGAGTTCGACGTGCCATGCCCCGCAAAATGAAATATATCGCATGAGCCGAGCTGTTCCAAGACACTTACTTTGTCTTGGACTGGCCGAATGGGCGTCGCATTCAAAGCCGGACAGAGTTTCTCCAGCATGGCGACTTCGGGCTCAGCGTACCGCAGTGGGGATCTGGATGGTGTGCTCTTCATTGAAACCAATAGCGCGTTGATGGGGCCGGAATCATACTGCTGAATCTTCTGGCGACGGCCGGCAAGTAGAGACTTTAGTGATGAGCTGTACGACGACATGACACAATCGAGAGCTGTTTCTCCAGAGTGCTTGTTGTGGTATCCAGCGGCATGCAGTGGTAAACTATTGAGGGGGCCAACCGGTATCCACCAAATATGCGGCCATGAATCTTCATCCAGAGGGAGAGGACGGTCAAAACCAAGTTCGTTGAGAACTGGATGCACTGCTGAGGACCACAGCCACTCCAACACCGAAGACAGCGAATCGGGACGGTCCTTCAGTCCCTTGGCGTACGACTGTATGTCTTCGAGGCTCAAAAGGGGAAGCTCCAGCAGCTTGATGCGGTGCTTATCAACGATAAAAGCATCGCACCGGAAGGAAGACACGTTTAACACAACAGCAGGATCCGTTTCTGCGGCTTCCATCAGCTGCTCAACGGTAGGCGGCATCAGGAATCTCTCGAAACCTTTCTCGCTGCGGATCTTGGTGAGAAGTTTCTCAAGGTCCATCTCTGCTCGGCGGCGAGCTTGTGAGCCTGACTCCAACGAGCCAGTCGTTAACAGTGCGGAGTGACCAGAATCCAACATGCTGCGAAGACGGGAAAGCTCATCTGCCCATTCTGAGTGTTCCTCTCGAAGGAATGACAAATCTGTCCGGAGATCAAGAACAAGGCCAGATATGACGCCTCTCCCGAGCTCCAGCTGTTGCAGAGCATACGAGGCCTCCTTCCCTGCATTCAAAGCGGCGGCGGCGGCGTTGGCGCCAAGGCCAGCGAATCGCTTCAGCATTTGTTGCTTGTTGACATTCTGCATATGTCGGGGGCTCAAAGCATGGAGAAGACCGAGAGCATGGTCAAGGTCCGATGAGATTTCTGTCCAGTATTGGAGTAGCAATGATGGATCCGAGGAATTGTGACTCTCCAGCTGTTTCTTGGCAACATCAGCAGCCCGAACCGCAGCCCTGATTCGAATCGTTAGTGGAGAAATCCGAGACTCCCATGCTCGCTGAAAGGCTTCTCTAGATTTCTCCAGATCCGTGACGTCGCCAGTGTGGTCAAATCGAGCATGCAACACGTCCCCTAAGTCAAGTTCCAGGTATCCTCTCTCGGGAAGAGTTTCTGGCAGACCACCGTGAATAACTTCTCTCAGAACATCAATGGCCTCGTCCAAGTTGGCAGCTTCGCCATATTGGTCGTACTTTTCCTTCAACAGATTTGAAAGAACGTTCGCCAATGCCGCGCGCATCCCCATGTCGTCGCCCTCAAATTTCTGAGCCGCTTGTCTACTAAGGTCGATTGCTTCTTGAATGTCCTGTGGATTCTTTGAACCCATGCTGAATCTCAGACCCAGGAACTGGCTGAGTCCCCTGAGCCAATTGGTCCGTTCTGGATGATTTGCACGCACCAGGCGCAGAGCTTGTCGTCCGCAGTCAACGGCATCGTCGAGATCGCTGAGGACACCGGTATATTGCGCTCGCCCAACAAGCCTGTTCGCCAAGTTAAACAGCTGGACAGGTCTCTCAGTATCATCATTGCTTATCAACTGCAGCACACTCTTCGTGTATGAAATGCTTGCACTGAGATCGTCGACATCCCCTTGTTGCTCGTAACGGATACCCAGCAAGGTTGCCAGGTAGCTTGTACCAACCACATAGTCTATCTGATTCTTTGGAATAAGCGGCACAGTGGCAGTGAGAACGTCGATTGCACGATCTAGATCCTCAATGTTCGCTGTTTGCTCGAACCGCCTCCCCAGAATTCGTGCTACAGTGTTGGAACCGATCGCCACACCTGGCCCGTCCCCCTGTGATTCTGCTGTCTTTACAGCGGCCTCAGCCGTGTTAAGAGCTCGCTCGGCGTCGTCTAGGTTATGTGTGAGCTCGAACAGCTTACCACGCGAGATAGCAAGCCGACGCAAAATCAGGGCAGTGTAACGCGAGTCCTTGGGTATCCTCTCCGCGGCATCTTCACCCACGCTGATGGCCCGATTGATGTCTTGCTTATCTCTCGTGTAGTCGTACCGGTTTTGTAGCATTTGGTTGAGGTTGACTAAAGCTAACATCCGCTGCTCCGTTTCTGGGCGCGTGGCTGGGACATCTTCTTCGGCAAGTTGCACAGCCCTGTTCAGGTCGTTCACGTTTGCGTCGGATCCCGTTATCGAGAATCGCTGATAATATGCGTAGGAGAGGTCGCCCAACAAAGTCGCACGGAACGCATGCTTTTCTGGCACAACCGATAAAACCTGTTCGTTCCACTCGATAATCAGACTGACGTCTTGAAGCGATCCCATGGAAACACTAGGAAGCTGTTTAAAAGCTCTCTTGGCAGCATTGATGGCTTTTTCAAGTGCTTGCTTTACACCCAGATCATCTGGATGTTGGGAGAGCACCTCCGCAGGCTCGCGGATGGCTTCGACAATCTCCGCAATGTTCTCCATCGGTTTTTGGTGGGTCTGGTTGACGATCAGACAAATGCAACAAGAGAAGCGATTCAGGGGAAGTCAGTGTAGGTGTTGAACAAGATAAGATCAGATCCAACTGCACATCGCCTGACCGTCGCAATATTCGTGCACGACGTTCGATACTGAGATTGGCAGCTTCAGAGGTTAACACCAGTTTATTATAACCGTGCAACGGATGCTTTCAGCCAATCAAGAGCTGGGGCTATGTGGCCTTGTTTTGGACGCGATGGCAGCAAGGGAGGAGCTTCGTGTACGGCTGACCTCCCGAATGGTATGTGGCGTTCTTGTTGTCACTTTGTCTAATGCCGTGGCGGCAAGGGTGCAGCAGCCCTTGCGGCTGAACTCCTAAACGGTACATGGCGTGGAAAGCCGCAGGCATGCTCTCGGTACACACATTAGTAGAGACACCGTGGGATGGGTGCGAGAGTCAAGAGTTCATGGTCCTGCTGCGTGAGTGGTATGGAATGTGAAGAATGGGTAGAAGCCCAAGATTTCTCTAGAAGATGTATTAGGTAAATGGAAGAGTGGTCTAGTGGACCACACCACCTTCTATATCCATATTATTTACTGAGCGCTTAGAAGTCAACGCTTCCGAATTACACGAGATACTAGAGAAAATTCTGCCAAATTGTGTTATAGGCTACTATGCATTTATGTTGTCTCCAGGTATCACTGATTCGCTCCAAGCAGATTCTCAAGTCTTGAGGCTGGATGCTGAAGGGAAAATATCTTTGAGAGCCATTTGTAAGCGCACTGAATGAATGACTAGCTAGTCTTTGGATTGCTTCTTTCAGATTCTCAGAGAAAGGGGTTCGGCAAATAATCACTAATCTCTCCATATAACTCGCACGACGCTCTAAATGACTTGGTTTATAAGCAAGTAATAACGGGTATCCTTGCAATGAGGAATTCCAGCCTGTATTTAAAGCAACAGGCTGCTAAGAAAGACTAGTTCATCCCAAGGCTCTCATCAGTCGATCGGTTCCTCACATCCTCGTCTCAAGCTCTCTGCTAGTCTCTCAAAACTCATAATGCATCCCTTCATCTTCTCTGGCCTGGCTTTGGCTGCAACTTTAGTACGACCTGTATACTCCATAGACCTCCCCGACTACACCGGATTAAAGACATCCCAGAATGGCAGCGTCTTGACGGTGACCTTTCACAATCCTTCGTCTCCTATCAACTTGTGGAACCTGGATACTCAAAACGATTTGACCGATTTGGTATCTCGCCTCCAGGTCAATAACGAAACCAAGGTCGTTATCTTCAACAGTGACGTTCCTAGGTTTTTCATGGCCCATCTAGATCTCTCCCTGCCTGAGCTGGCAGATCGTAAGTGCATCCAAAAACTCCGATTGAAGTTACTCTGAGTTCCATGATACGATAAGTCAAACCCCCCACTTCCTGGCACCCCCCTGTTTCTGGCACCCACAAAAACGATGGGATCACAACCCAACCTCCTCATTACTATTAACTATTGATCCTCAACCACACCCACTACAATACAACTGCCAGCCTCACTAGGGCATTCAGAGTCGCTGGATTCAGCCGTAATAACCTCCTTTTCACCCGCTTCGATTTGAGCCCGATGGATATCCCTGATGTTCGCAAACTTCGTGTTGGGATCGATCTGAACAGTCTTCCTCTTCCTAACTGCAGCGTTGGTAACTTGAGCCCTCAGGTGAGCCAGCTGCTGCTGGGCAGCTGCCAGTTGCCAGGCCTGCTCTGTGAAGCCTTTTTTCACCTTCCTGAACAGCAGCCGTTGAGTGCTGGTATCATTGTCGAGTTGGTGTATAAGTGCAGTTGACCGCTGAGCTCTGCCAGCTTCCTGGGTGTCGACCAGACCACTGCAGAGGAAGCAGAATCCCATGGCTCAACAGGGTAGTTTGTTGACCATTATGGCATCGCTTTTTGCCCGACTGGTTGGTTTGGGTGTGGTGGGCTTAGCAGAAGGCTCAGGTAATACCATAGGGTTCATCAGGGGCTTAACCATCGCTACAGGGTGTAGACCAGTCCACTTCCAACCACTTCTGATGTTCGAGACTGATAGACCAGCAAGTCGAGCCTTCTGGTAACAGTCCAGGAAGTTCCTTTTACCTATAATGGTAGAGTCGTTCCATTGAGACAAGTAACCGAGCTCCTTCCGATAGGCTGACTTAACAGGGCTGAAGACAGACTGGTCAAGTGGCTGGAGGACATGAGAGTGTGGTGGTAAGAACAGTAAATGGATATTGTTAATATAGCAATTCCACATGAAGTCTGTCGTCGTATGACTCCCATGCCCATCCACAATCAACAGTCGAGCCTCGCCCTCAGCCTCGGGCATAGTCTGTGGGATAAACACCTTCTCTAACCATTCAATGGCAGTTAAGTCTGTAGTCCAGCCATTATCTGTTGCTGTAAACTCCCACCCATCGTATGGAACCAGATGTAATGGAAACCACTGTTGTTGGACCGTCTTCCTTGAAAATGATAAGAGGACGAAGTGCCCTACCCAAGGCTGAGATACACTCAATGATAGAGACCCATGCCCTCGACCCAGGTTGTTTCTTGCGAACAGACGTCGTCTCAGCCATGCCCAGCACTAACCCATTAGCTCCTGACCCTCGAGGATGCCAGTCTCATCCATATTATATCTGTTGGCTGGTTTGATGTCCTTGATCTCAGGGATAGCAAGGAACTTAAACCAGTTCCTAATGACCTCAGTAGATGCCCCATTAACGCGTCTAGAATCGATGGAACGACTTCTCTGAACCTTAATGATAGGGTTCCTTCTCACGAAGGCATAGATCCAGCCTTTTCCTAATGGTTTGGTATCCCCAGCAGCAGCCAGAACTCGCTCTGCGAATTCCTTCACCTGTTGGTGCGTTGGTGCGAGGCCCAGCGAAGCCTGAATGCGAACCCATTGTGCCAGCTTACTCTCCTGGTCAGGAGACAGCCTCTGCCAGTCAGCAAAAGCCACTTTCCTAGTCTGACCACCTTGGAGACGTAGTTGGAGGGTTGATCGTATCCCATACTCCAATGAGGCTCTCTTTTGACTCTTGCCGTTTGAGATGTCCTCGAGAGCCTGACGAAGCTGATCTTCGGTATATTGAGGCATTAGATATAGAAGAAGGTATGTGCAAAAAATGAGCCCATTTGGACTCGAATTGAAAATGTTGTGATAAAAGGAGGTTGGGGGTGGGCATTGCGTTGTGGTGGATTTTCGCGTTTTTGTGGGTGCCAGAAACAGGGGGGTGCCGGGAAGTGGGGGGTTTGACTTAACTGACATCTTGAAGCTGCATTTGGCAAAGAATTTGGTACTCTCATCTACAACGTCTCTCAGTTGCACCAAGTCACCATCGGCGCTGTAGAAGGCCGCGCCCGCGGTGCCGGCAACGAGTTCCTCGTTTCTCTCGACATGCGCTTTGCCACAAAGGCGGAGAGCCTCTTCGGCCAACCCGAAGTCGGAAGTGGCTTGTTCCCCGGTGGCGGTGGCAGCCAGTTCCTCCCGGGCCTAATCGGCAGAGGCCGCGCCATGGAGTACGTCCTGAGCTCTAATGACATCACTGCAGAAGACGCCGCGAACATCGGATGGATCAACAAGGCATTCGACACCTCCGCTGAAATGTACGGCTACATCGACAAGCTCGCCCAGCGCTTTAGCTGGTTCCCTCTATCAGCTCTGAGCGGCGGCAAGAAGACGATCAACAGAGCTTCGGCGCCGTCGCTTGAGCAGGTCATTGAGGATACCAAGGACTTCTTCCAGCAGCAATTTGATCCGGAGGCGCAGGCCATGGCCAAGAGGTCGGCGTTGCTGTCTCGCAATGTTTCGGCCGTGGACTTGGAGCTGAACTTGCCTGAGACGATTGCCCGTCTTTACACCTAAGGGGGGAAATCAGTTTGAACGGACTGTGTTGTGAGAGACGCTTGGGACTTTGCCTACCTCAACTGTGTTGTTCATATCTCAGTGGCGGAAATTTCTTCATGTAGCCAGACTCTGGTAGATTGGAGTATTGGTATGTAGTTCATCAAATCAAGCCGCTGCTTAGTCTTCATTGCCCATCACCTTGGAATAGTCTGTAAAATTTTGTCTCCATCTCAATCTCAACGTCATCTCGCGCTAGGTTTGAATAAAATAACTTCAATACCCAGTCTCCATGATTTTATCTGTCGTGATTTGATATCTTGGATAACGAACGTCAGCCCATGAGGATTTCTCCCTAGGTTGGGATTATCGTGACTATGCAAAATCCCAATAGAATTGCGTATCGGAATATGTGTCCCCAAATTTGCAACTCAAAGACAATTCTAGGTCAACAAAGTAGATCCTGCTCTGAAGGTTAAGGGGATAACATTGGATTCTTTTGGCCAATTGGCGCGCAGATATCGATTGGCTTGAACAGAGCTTTGTCCTGCTGTAATACGCGCGACCAACTCGGGCCCTACGACTAATACCTCCGACTCAGCTGCAGTCAGCGTCAGCTGAAAATGATTAGTGAACGCGTCGCATTGGGCTGATAGAATCGGACCAATGCAAGTTCCGCTTCCGCATTCGTGTATCGCCGGCTACGGGGCGCATGCCAGACCAAGATAAGTCGTAATTTCGCAAATACTTTTCATTCATTTTGAAATAACAAATCTTGGTCGAATGTCTTGATTTGTGGACTGGTGATCGGATTGGTCAGCGAGTTTTCGACTCGGCGCCGGCTTTCCAAGCTCTTCGATGACTGCAAGGCCGCAGTCATGAACGATGCAGCAAAAACAAAGTCTCCGAGACAAGGCGTCGTGTGAACCAATCAGCTGGTATTGGCCGCTACTCTGAGAGTTTGCCATCAGTATAATATAACCCATTGGCTCTGCTGACCGTCGCTGCTTCCTAGAGGTTTGCAGCATTACGTTGGCTTCCAAGATACCCCTTCACCTCGTTATATCTATTTGAAGCATCATCGAATCAACATACCCAGCTTAGACTGTGTCACATAACAACGCATCCGTCGCATTCATTTACTCTTCCACGAAACCGACCCAGCCTAATACTATAATTACATCACGACGCTGCTATGACATTTTCCCCAGAGAAGGACATACCAGATCTGGCCGGTAAGGTCATCATCGTCACAGGTGGCAGCAGCGGTCTCGGCAAAGAAAGCGTTATCCAGCTGGCGAAGCATAACCCCGCGGCAATCTACCTCACAGCCAGGACAGAAGCCCGTGGTAATGCCGCCATCAAGGAAGTGGAGCAAGCCGTACCGGCAGCAAAGAACAAGATCAAGTACCTCGAGCTAGACCTAGGCTCCTTCGCCTCGATCAAGAAGTCCACCGACGCCTTCCTCACCTCAGCCGACCGTCTCGACATCCTGATGAACAATGCTGGTCTGATGGCTACACCACCTGGCCTGACAAAAGATGGATATGAGGTTCAGTTTGGATCAAATTACATGGGTCCGGCTCTATTCACCAAATTGCTACTTCCGATCCTCAAAAAAACTGCCGAACAGCCAGGATCCGATGTCCGCGTCGTCAACTTGAGCTCAGAGCTGTTCAAACAAGCGCCTTCGGAGGGGATTCTCCTCTCAAAGTGCAAGACCCCACTCGACGACATCTCCAGTCTGGCTCGCTACGGCCAGTCCAAGCTTGCAGACTACTACCACACCCGCACGCTGAGCCAGTTATACCCCTCCATCAAGTTCGTTGCAGTGCACCCTGGAGTCGTAAACACCGGTCTCTTTGACGACTTCAGAAAGAGAAGACCCTGGGTCGGCGGAGTAATCAGCGTACTTGGGTCGATCTTCCTGACCGATGTCCACGCGGGTGCGCGAGCTCAGCTTTGGGCCAGCACGGCTGCGAGTGCCAATGTGAAGAGTGGCGGCTTTTACAATCCGAAGTTTAAGGAGTATAAGGAGGCGAACTTGTACGACGATAAGGCGGCCAAGGAGTTGTGGGATTGGACTGAGAAGGAGCTTGAGGGCCATTGATCCCGTTACTCTGGACTTCTGAATATAGGCTCCTTTGCAATTCTGGCCGGGCGATGGACTGCTTGAGAGATGGAAAGCAACTCATGTCACGTTCCCATCTCATCAATTGCTTGGAAGCGAAGGATAATGTTGATGTAATGTAAGAAGGGTTATAATTAACTACAGATCGACACAGCCATGATAGTCTTGCATTCGTTTCTGAACGATTTTCCAGGAAATGATGAATCAATTTGATGGTCCTCTCTGTCCATCCACGTTAAGATTATGTTTGTGAGATTTTGATGTGGCCTTGCTTGATTTGACCAGTTATTGTACAAATCGTGAAAAGCATCACCTTCAACTCTGATATGTGTTTGATGCTACCAATAATCATCAATACCCTCGCGTTCCATCATCGAGATCATGACGCCACTTTCTTGACACTCTTGCCACGAGCAGCTGTCCAAGCCGAGTGTGCCTTGAAGCATTTCAGCCACGCGATGCTCAACTGTGGCGGACCGAGGCGCTGTAGAGCTAATGCGTAGACAAGTGGCTGGAGCGACCATGCGCCGCATGTTTGTGGCTGTGCCAAACTTTGGGGAGAATTGTTTCTCGGTTTCGGCCTCGGATGGGATGGTGCCTTCATATGCCCAAGCTACTTGTAACTTGACCAATGTACATTTCCCAAAGTATGTAGATTGGTGAGCAATCATGACTTCCCAAGAGCTACAATGAATCCGTCAAACCAAAGGCAACTTGCGAGTCGGGAATAATATGGCGCACGCCACCCCTCTTCTACCGCGAAGTACTTAGCGCATCATCACAGCTAATTAGCGTGAGACTCGCCCATTCCTTCGAGACGTCAAACGGGAAGGAAAAGGGTCTGATCTCTGCATTGCTCGAGCTTCCCTCCGCATTGCCAATGGACAGACAGCTTCATCCTTTGACGTCATCGCGAGCATAATCTGACAGTCTGACATCTAGCTCTCAACGAACCAGCTCCTTGTGCCCCTCACCTCATCATCCCTTCTGAGTTCTCTCAGGTACTTGTGTTGTGTCTCATCGCCCTGTGAGCCTGCGAAACCGAATGGTGGCGCTAAGCAATAAGCACTGCCCCCAATGGTCTACTCAGCCGCAGGCAGCCAGCAGATCTCCCAAAGTTCGAGGTCGAATCTGACGGTAAGAGCTTTGGTTCGCCTGAGCTTTCACATGCACCTTACTTAAAACCAGTCGTCATCCCTCGTTTCCGCTGCATGAAGTGTTTATGAAGATTAATCTATCCGTCAACTCCCATTGCGACCTCACAGTTCACGATAGAAAACGGGATAAGAAGACCCAATAAAACCCCCCACGAGAAAAGACACGAAATACGCACCATGGCTGCCCCAGCAGTTCACAGCCTGCCCCAGGCCGGAAACTCGGTCGGCATCTTCCCGCAATTGACGGCACGCCAGAGCGAGACCCTCGTGCTCAAAGAAAAAATCCTCTCCATCACCGGCGACAGCTTCGATATCAAGCTCGCAAATGGCCAACCGATCCTCCGTGTGCAGGGCAAGGCGCTGTCCATCTCGGGCCGCAAAGCAGTCTACGACATGTCGGGGAACCATCTCTTTGATATCGTAAAGGAGCACCTGCACCTCCACACTACGTTCGCGGCGCAGGATCCCAAGGGCAACAAGATTATGGAGGTCAAGAATAGCTTTGCGCGTGAGTTTGCTACCCTTTATCCCTGTCTTACCCAGCGCTAGTCAGCCGGACGAGAGCAAGTAGCTAATCATGTGGGTTGCGCCAGTCATTGGCTCAAAAGCTACTGCGACATTCGTTTCGCCGCAGACAGGGAAGACGGAATCGCTCGAGATGAAGGGCAATTGGCTGTCGACACAGGCCGATATTGTTGACACGAATACCGGCCAGGTGCTGGGGCGGATTGACAGAAACATGCTCCGGGCGCGCGACTTCTTCGGCGGCAAGCAGACGTACGCGCTCACGGTGGCACCGGGGGTCGATATGGCGCTCATGTGTGCCCTGTGCATCTGTCTGGACGAGAAGAAGAATGACAATAAGGGTTAACGGAGAGGCGTGGAGAGGGAAGCACTTTTCTTGTGCCCTTTATGATTAATGCGTTTTTTTAAAGTCATTGCGATTGATACCTAGTTGAAGAGAGTCTGACATGTTCTGAAAATCAAGTACTTCTTTCCTATGGTCGCCATCCTTGCAGCAAGAATATGTCACAGCTTCGACAGACCCCGGCAACACTGCAACAGGCAGCAAGGGAAGAGAAAGGACGTTCTTTCATGTTCTCGTTCCCGCAAGACAGTCAGATCCCAGGTCCGTCGTCTCATGCTGCATTCATAGCATTCATATAATGTTACGGACCCCTTTCATCGGCTCGGTTCGGTCCGGAGCCCAATCGACAACGTTTCACCGCGATGAAGTGCCGATGAAAGTGCTTCACACAGCCGGCATGCCACCCCGAACAGCCTTCCCCGCGCATTTCCCCACAAACAAACGCCTGGGTCCGGGGAACTTTTACCTAGCGTGCTTGATCGGGATGTTTGTCTGCGAGTAAACCCAACCACGCGGTTCCTTTGTGGATTCCGCGAGGGATGTCAACATCAAATGGTGATCGAAATGGCACTAACAAGCACACGAGACGAAGACAAGGACCGCTCTGCTCGGCCACCGATGGCCCGAGCAGTCATGCTTTCAGGTACGAGGGTGACGCGACGTAATCTGCTCGGTGTGGATCATGCGAATATTTCAGACTACAAGATCACGCCCACAAGCCGAGGAAATTGGAGCCGGGATGATCATCTTCGTCGAGTCTTTCGTTCTGAGAAGAAAGCTTGCTGCTTTGCACTTTTGAAACATCGTTTCGGTCACTTCTGCCGTAGCATTGGGTTCAAGGAGTAGCAATGGCCGTCTCACGTTTGTTGCTGGCGTTCGCAGCCAGTGCCGCCGGTGTCGTCGCTGGTGTGTCAAGCAGCAACTCGACCACGAGGTATGAGACCAAGAGTTCCCATCTCCCACGCAAGGAGCCCACCCCTGACTTCAAGATTTCAATCAGAAGCTTCTCGGCCAAAGGCATCGCTACTGGCACGACAGCACAGCTCCAAACCGAGCCGTTCGCCCCATTCACGTTGAGCCCGGAAATCCCGCTGGCCACCTTGGATTACGGAGCCGAGAGAGCGGGTTATCCGATCTTTGAAATCTCCGCCCTCAGCGCCCCGGCCCAGATCGAGGTGAAGTACACGGAGCACTTTGACGGGCTCGATCACCCGTTCGGCGACGGGCCGTACACCTTCTCCAATCAGCTGAGCAACAGCTTTCGCGTTGAGACATTCAACATCACGTCTGTCGGCTGTGTCCAATCCCCACTCATTCAAGGAGGGCAGAAATGGCAATCCATCAGACTTTTGACGAATGGCACTGTCTCCTTCTCGGGCGTGGGCTTTGAGGCGACGATCGATACTATCGAGCCAGAGAAACTCCCGGGGCAATTCGAGAGTGACGATGAGATCCTGAACGAGGTCTGGAAGCTCGGTGCTCGGGCAGCTACGGCGGCTTGCTTTGACAAGGGAACGCAACAGACAATCTGGGAGGTCACTGAAGAGAACGGGGTGTTTGCGCGTAGCACCAGACCCTCAGTGTCATACAAGGGCACATCGTGGAGCAACTATACTCTTGAGTTTGACACTAAGATCGAGAGGGGAGGGAGCTGGTGGGTAACGGTAAGTTCGGACTCATGGAGAATCCCGAGGGAACACATACTGATGAAATGTATAGGGAGGAGTCATTGCCGGCAATGGATACACCATGCTTCTCACCGGCGAGCTTCCCGCGTCGAGCACCTTCGCGAACGTCAACAAGACTCTGACACCGCCCAACACTATCTCGTTGGCGTACGGTCCCGACTTTGTGAACCAGACAACGCTCACGAGTTACTTGCTCGACGTCTTCAACGTGCCTTTCACAGTGAAGGAGAACGACTGGTACCGCATCAAAGCCTCCATGACTCCCACCGGCCACCTAGCAGTCTCAGTCAACGACACCCAAATCCTCAACATCTCGCGCTCCGACTACCCATGGGCTCTCAGCTCCGGCACAGTCTCCTACTCTGGATCCCCTGACTTTAGCGGCTCCTTCGGCTTTGGAGCGTACCAAGATCAAGCGGCCTACTTCAAGAACGTGCACGTTTACGACACCGCCAACGGCTCCACGCTCTACTCGAACACCCTCACCGGCAGCGCGGAAGACATCCTCGCCGAATACGGGACTCAAGCCAACAGCGAAGCCGCATGCCTAGACGGCCCGAAGCGCGACCGCCTCATCTGGCTCGGCGACTTTTACCACACGGCACGCATCATCGCCGTCAGCACGTCAAAGACGGAGCACGCTAGGGGTACCCTACAACTCCTGCTTGATTCGCAAATCGCAAACGGTCAGATGAACATCTCACCTAATCTAGGCTACGACCTCTCCTCTGTCGCCGATGCGCTAGCGCCGGCTGGGAGCTTCGGGCTGCAGGATTACCAGCTCCTAGGCATCATGGCCTTCAACGACCACGTGCGTTTGACAAACGACCTCGAATGGGCGAGATCAACGTGGCCGCAGTGGCAGAAGGTGCTGGACTGGCTTCTGCCGCAGATCAACTCCACGACAGGGCTGTTGACGTTCGATGGGGGCTTCGCGTTCACGGGGCCCGCGGACGGGGGATCCGCGATCGGATGCGAGGCCGTTCAAACTCTTAACGGTGCTGCTGACGTTGCTGATGCGCTCAATGATACGGCATCTGCCACGCAATACAGGGACGCAGCGACGTCGTTGGCGACCGCGATCAACGAGCGTCTCTGGAACGAAGAGGCAGGCGCATACGGGCTTTCGCTGGCTGATTTGGACGGCATCTCAGTGGCAGCGACTGCCTTCTGCATCACATCAGGCGTGGCAAACGCAACGCGCGCATCGCGGTCTCTTGCTGCTGTATCCCGCCTGAAGCTGGGACCGGGATACAAGGATACCTCTGCAGTGAGTTCCAACGACTCGAGCGTCAACATCTCACCCAACACCAATGGCTTCCTGCTGGAAGCGCTATTCGTCGGCAACGAGACGCAGGCAGCGAAGGAGTTGATGAAGAGTCTCTGGGGCGCGATGTTACCCGGCGACACGACCCCAGCGCAGAACAGGAGCGCGGTCGGCGCGAGCTGGGAGTACGTCAACGCTGCGACGCAACAGCCCGGCCTGGGCCTGTTCACGAGCCTGAGTCATCCGTGGGGCGGCGCCGCGACGTATGTGTTGACGGAGTGGGCCGCGGGGCTGCGGGCCGCTGCCGGTGTTGATGGGTTTGGGTACAAGAACTGGGTGGTCTCGCCTACGACTGGTGTCGAGATGGGGCTGAAAAGGGCGAGTGCCAAGGTTGTCACTGCGTTTGGAGGTGTGGTTAGTGTCGAGTGGAGGGTGCGTGATGGCGATATTGGTGTTACTATTCGGGCGCCTGTCGGGACGCAGGGACGGTTTGTTTATGGGAATGAGAGCATTGCGTTGCATGGGAGGGCTGAGTATCAGTTTACTGTTGACGCGTCGTTGGATAATGGTATTGTTTAAACTAAGGTAGCTCAGCCTACTAGTACTTAGCTCAATAGGGTGATGGGTCAAAGAGAGAAATAGAGATTGAGTGCTGAAGGCTTCTGCTACCCGCTTGTCTTGAAGGATATAGTTCTGTATCTGGTTTACTAACTAGCCTCAAGTCGTGACGTCGTGGATAGTAGTCGAGGTTTGGACGATCAGTCACGATGTGGTTCCCAGTCTGACGCGTCTGCGCCGTTTGGTCATAGCCGAGACACAGTCAGCGCTTGGTCGTTCTTAATGTGGATTCTCGCTTCGAATTGGCATCGACTGGCCTCCACTCAGGCGATGGGTCAATGAGACCAACTAGAGGTTGTATAGTGTAGCGGTTATCACTCCAGATTTTGATTGTATCAAAACTTCTGGTAACCCCGGTTCGAACCCGGGTACGACCTGGCATAACATCACATCCAAAGATGTACTCATTTCCTTTTGCATTTTTTAGACACCTGATGCATGAGATCAGCTTGGGTATTGACAATTTAAGTAGCAATCACGTACATGCACAATCAGTGCATTGCGGAGATAGCCCCATTCTCTTTGTGTTATTTATTGGTGAAAATTGCTGATTAATTATGCCTCCATTGCGAGGCTCAATTGCATGCCGTCTTGGTGTTTGTAGCAGGGGATACTAGGTAGATTCGAACACCTTAGCTGACGACTTCATGCTAGCAATGAACCGGCGATTGCAAATACGGGACTAGAACTATAGCAATGATGATCCCGAAGATGGCTTCCGTGGAACTTCACCTCTGTGATTTCTCAGCACGTCGTGAGAACGATGAGATGGAAATAGGTTCCCGGTTCTGATGGCCCATCACCGCTTACTTTCGGCACCTAATTCCGGCATCGGAGCTGCCAAACACAGCCCGTGCCCCGCCATTTCCCCTCAAACTCCGAACTCGAACCGCTCCACCTCCGCACTTCCCGGTCACATGACGCCGTGATTGATATCCCCCGTGTGAAGCTTTCCCCCTCCCTGGTGATGCGATAATGTCAATGTCCGCCAAATTTCTGAGAAGCAGCTTCGTTCCCGCGGTTCGGCGACCTTTTGTTACTTCTAGACCCGTCTCTTCACCGTTCAATCGCTCCCGCACAATGGCTACAAAGGAGTTCCTCTGCATCCTTCCCGACAAGCCCGATGCGCTTGCCCGGCGCTTGGAGGTTAGACCGTATGTAACCTAGTTGTGGAAACAGGTCTCTTGTGAGAGGCCGAGCGTAGTTCCGGGCTGATTGCTAACTTGTCTCAGTACGCATCTTGAGAATGCTCAGGGCCACAAGAGCAACGGAAAGATTGCTGTCGGTGGTACGTATCTAGGCTTCAGATCCCATCCCTCCTTCGGTATTTGTCACGATATTCGTGCTCATGAATATAATAGGCGCCATGTTTGAGAAGGAACACCCTGTCGAAGGCCAGACTCCCGGTTTCAAAGGCAGCGTGATGATTTACACCGTCAAGGACGCCGAGGAAGCCTGGGAACTCATCAGAGGCGACGTCTATGCTAAGAACGACGTCTGGGACCTCGAGAAGGCTCAGGTCATCCCGGTAAGCGAACGATCTGCTCCAAGGTCAAGTATAATTCTATGAAGAATCAAGCTAACATCAGATGGTCGATGTAGTTCAAGTCAGCTATTCGCGAGTCCTTGTAAGATCTTGATGTCCGAGTAGACGACAGGCTCATGAGTACCCAAGTTAGAATCCTAGCATGAGCACCAAGAGATGTAGCCCCACCGGGGGTAAACTCTTTTTTTCACTGTGCCGAGAGCAATCCTCTAGTAGCATATTGTGATCTCAACAGAGAACAGAGCATTAACATAGACCACCAAAGAGCCTTTTGTTGCCATTGTCGTAATCCATTTGTCATACAAATATTGATTACCGTAGATCATTATCATCTATCACCATCCCCATCAACAGATTGAATCAAGTCCTCCACATCCAACCTCTCCGCCAAATCCAGTAACGCCTGCGGAGAAAGACCGCCCATCCCGCTCGTATCAAAGATATCCCACCCAGCCTCCTCCATCTGGTCCAAGAATGACCCATGCTCTTGCCCGTGCCCGTGCCCATTATGATGCTGAGAATGGTGATGCGCCGCACTCGTCGGCGGCGGCGTCGGCGGCTCCTCGCCTACAGGCGTCAACGCGGACATGATGTGCTCCAACTGACTCAGCTCCAGTTTTCTCAGCGGCGCCACGAGACTCCCCTTTGAGATCATCTTGTCCAGCACGCACTTGATGTTCTCGCACCATGCATCATCGTGCAGGAGAGATGGGCTGATGACCCGGATAAGGTACAGGAGAAAGGCGGAGGAAAATGCGTCTTCGAGCTGAAAGGGGAGGAAGGCTTCGAGGAGGTCTTCGTCGCCGAGCACGCGAAGGGTTCGGAGGACGGTTTGCGCCGAGTCAACGCAGGATTGGAGGAGGGATGCGACTGGCGGTGTTAGGGAGACTGTTTGTGGGTGTCGCGCGTGGCTGTCGGAGTGTTCGATGTGCATGTGGAGGGCACACATGACCAGTGGCCGAGTTGTCAGGACGACGCACTTCTGGAATTAGTGATGGCACTGAAAGAGTGCGTAGATGTAAGGTACTTACGTGGTGATAGGATAGGATGAGTCGCAGTGCCATTCTAGAAGCGCGGCTGACTGAGCCTTGGAAGTGGGTGTCAAGGAGTGCGGTAAGGTCTCGTGATAATCTGGCCAGGTCCCTTAGGATAGACTGGGTATTGGGGACTAGTGAGCCATCAAACTCTTTGCCCACACCGTAAATAGCTAGTTACATCATGTCAGTAACCCAGTACTTCCGCTCACGTCATTTTATGGCCGAGGAACTCACTTGTAAGAATACGGGCCATTAGCCGCGATAGCCGTACATGGAGCGTCATGTTCAGTGCATCGAGGGAGTTGTCCATCTGTGAAGGAAGCTTGACAGTGATATCCTCGTCTCGAATTGACGTCGGCGCTCCCATCAAGGCCGAAAACTCTCTGTCCAGGGTATACACTACCCAGAAGACAATGTTGCAGCGTCGCGAATACTCAATCCCGACAACTTCTTCGGGCATGTGTCTATATATGCCTTCGACGATGCCGATTCTTAGCGCTTGTCCGATCTAGCATCACATTAGTAAACGACTCATCGCAACCTCTAGTGATGAGAAAGCCAGGACAGGAAGGAAGTCAGGGTCTTACATGCTGATACGCAGCCAGCCTCATATCCAAACACTGAAAATACAACGCAGCCAGAGCAAGCGCCTGGATAGCCGGAATCGTATCCGGATTGAGCCCTGATAGATCTGGCAACAACGACATGGCCCTCGCAGCATATTGTACCCCCGGCGGTGCCGTATGTGAAATACTATTCACAACAAATGCCTTGCCGAACGCCAGAACTAAGAGGTATTGTGCATACCACAGCCTCGCCGAGCTGGCCTTGCCCGCGGGGTCCTCGTACAACTCATGTAGGTTCTTAAGGAATGATGGCTCGTCGATTACATAGAAGACAGCGCCGAGGTAGAACTTGACCGTGTTAAAGAGGAAGAGGGCGTAGTCTAGCGGCGGGAGATTGGAGACGTCGGGGGTCTCAGTGGCACCTAATGGCGTCCATTGCATCCTGAAGGCGCCCTCGTGAGGGAGATGCCACGGGTCGGGGGCTGCTTCGGGTAGGCGTTTGCCCAGGAGGGCTAGCACTCGTCGGCAGAATGACCATGATGATGTTGGGCCCATGTACCCTGTGGACGTGTGGGTATTGGCTCAACTCACTCAGTACTAGGAAAAACGGCATGTGGCTTACAGTATCGTTCCCCGACCTTTGCAAATGTATAATCGTTGTCGACCAGCGGGTTTTGCCTAAACCCTGGGCCAAAGTCGCCATGATCTCCCTGATTTGAAGGGGCATCTCCTACCTCTGTATCCGGCTCGGATGCCGGAGGGCCTATTGGTTGTGGGCTGTCTACGATGTTGGCCGCGTCAATAAGACTTCTCTCGTCTGAGTGCACAAATCTGGCGACAAGAGACAATCACAACTCACCATGGCTCGGCGTCTCCAGCTGCCCGGCATTGTCTTCGCCCTGAGAAAGAGAAGTATGATGCGGCGTCGCATACGCATCCGCATCGGCATACCGACTCTGCACGTCCTCGACGTCGTCTCCTCGGCTGAGAGCCCTCGGCGAGCGGTCTGAGCCTGGATGCTCACTGTTCCGGTTCTGAAGTTCTCGGAGGTAACTGGAAAGTGGAGTCAGTCGTTGTTGTTTCTCATCCCGACAACTGCGTGCACTGCACGCGCACGGGTTCCGACAACTCACCTCTCCGGTACCGATATCCTCTTATCCTCAACAGCAAAGATGCATCTATGCTTCTTTCGATCGCAACGCGTGCAAGGCTGAGAGCCGGAGCACTTGACCTTCATTACCCGACATCTTTCGCAACTTTTCGTTGCAAGTCTCAGAGTCAGCCTTCACTCTCTCCGAACATCGGAACGCCCGGGCCCAGGCTCCCCCTCGAGCCCTTTCGCACAAGAAACGCACGCTTTTTGGCATTTTTTGGTCACTTTGTATTGTCCCTGGCTTAATTGCGGCATGGCGAACGGTTCTCGTGGGGCCAATTCGACGACTTCATGTCTCTTTTCCTCTCTCGTTTGCTGAACTTTGGGTAGTCTTCGCCGTGACTTTGCGACCATTTGATATGTCGGAGCAGGGTTCCGACAAGTTTTATATGTGCGCGGCTTGACCTCTTTATTGGCACTGGCAAATTTGGAGCAGACAGTCCGCTAGTGCGAGACCGCAGGATGGCTTATCAGCCAGGTGTTGGGGTCGATGACTCGCCGTAGATAGCCGACAGAGGAGGGTCTTTGCGGTCCTTGCGCCATTGTTATCTTTGGGATGCTTGTTCTTCTACCCCACAGTGTCTACGGATGTTCGTCCGTTCATTGTCTCCGGAGGCACCGGAGTCGATATGGATGACGGAGAACGTAGCATCTGCTGAGCTGCACACTTTATCGCGGGGAAGATCGGCACGTGTGTGTCGAACAACAAGGGATATGGAGAATTTGCCAGAAATCCGGGGTTGAACGATCACGAGACCATTTGACTTCGAGGGGTGGGCTTGCAAGGGAGAAGAGGCGTTGATGAAGTCATCAGCCCAGCCCAAGCAGGTGGTCCAAGCCACCAGGTGAAGGCCAAACCTATCTTTTGTTGCATCCTAATACACGAACAGATGGACAATACATTCTCATCTGACAGAAGATCCTCATTGTATGGTGTATGAATCGGTACGAACCAGCACCTCGATGAAAGCTGAAGATACGGCTGCCGAAAGAACGAATGATGAGCCCTGACTTTATCAGCGTTGTCGGCATGCAGTGAGCTGAGGATCCAAACCCCAGGAGTCATCGCCGAAATGTCATCTTGGCATCTTGAGATAACCGTTGCGTAAGATCTTCAATGGCAAACAGCTAGGTTGTGTTTGAGAAGGAGGCTTGGAAAGTCACCGGTTCTGCCACGGGGTGACCGAGTTGCGTAATGTCGGATGGAGCGTCCGACATTCCCCAATACACACCAAGGTGGAGATCGGACTCGCTTTCCGGCTGTTCGTGAACCAATAGCGTCATTGTGTCTTATCACACATCCAAGACGGCTTCTTGCCAGCACACCATGGCTAGGCGAACCGCCGACATGGAGAACGAGGTTGTCGGGGTTTGTAACAAAGTGAACTCTGCGCTGTAGCCAAGATCTCTGTAATTAGAATTGAAGCAGACTTTGAAGCAATTGGGGTGACAATGAGAGTTCCCCTGCTCTGGCACTTGATCCCTCCAAGGTGAGTTGGTACTAGCGACGCGTATGGACCAATGCTAAGTAAGCCGCCGCCTGGTAGACCGCGACTCACCCCGTGCATGTTACCCAGCCAAGGGTGGACAGTCCGAATGTCTTCAAGCAAATCAGACGACTCCAAAGGAGCTATTGTAGAGCGCCTCGGGAATTTCGAAGAGATACAATCCAAGCGCCCGGACTTTGACCACTCGAACGTCCCAATTGAGGTTACAAAATCCCCCGATCCGACGTGGTCTTACGGCCAGGGAGTCCGCACCCGGAAAAGCAACTCCGCATCCCACAAGGAAATTGACCCATACGCATCAGATCGATCAATGATCAATAACTACCGCCTTCTCGTTTCTGGCATTGCACCGCGGCCGGTTGGCTTCCTCAGCACCTTGTCAAAGGATGGCAAGAAGAACCTTGCGCCTTTTAGCTATTTCCAAGTCATTGACCATGACCCACCCATGTTTATAGTCGGTTTCTCATCGAGACCCGGTGCTGTGAAGGACTCGTACCGGAATCTCAAGGAGACGGGCGAATGCGTCATCAACACAGTGTCGGAAGACATGATTGAGGCTGTCAACGCAACCTCAATCGATGCTCCGCATGGAGTCTCTGAGTGGGATATCTCAGGGCTGCACGAAGGAGAGACTACGACAGTGAAGCCATCGAGAGTTCTGGAGTCGGTGTTTTCGATAGAGACAAAAGTGGTAGACATCAAGGAATTTAGTGACCACGCGAGAGATGGAAAGAGTGTCGCCGGAATGGTTTTGTTGACGGCGACGCGGTTTTGGGTCATGGAGGATGCTGCTGATCCTGACTTCAGTCATATTGAGCTCGAGAAGTTGCGTCCCGTGGCCCAGCTAGGAGGAAAGTCGTATGGGCGCATCACCTCAACGTTTGAGGTGCCTCGTAGGAGATGGCAGGACGAAGAACCGAAAAGCGAACTACTCCAGAAACTAGACAAACTCATCACCAAATAGACCTTTTCATTATTTAATAAAGGCATACGGTTA